ATTGGACCAAGAGCGTGACCATAGGTTAAATTGCAATCTGTGCCTCTAGTTTACTGTGTAGACATGAAAGGTATAAGACCAACCAGGAGAGGGAATGCACAAAGAGGGTTTGATGTGGTCATTTCAGGAAGCCTGCAGACTAGAAACTCAGGAAATCTAGACCATGCCCTTTCATAGAATTTTCTTCTATGCTCTTCCTGCCATTTCCCCACATCTGCCGCCTGTCTAATGTACTCTATCAATATCCATGAGCTATGTCTGCAAACTTGCGAAGGAATGGCTGTGCACCAATAAACCTTTAGTCACAAAACCGTAAAATAGGCAGGATTTGTGTCCAGTACTGTTTTCTCAAATTAAATTCCTTACAACTTTTTTTCTATAATAATTTGCCTAAGCCATCTTAAAGGCAGAGTAATATATATATTTTTATATATATAGATATCTATATATCTCTATCTATCTATAGGTAGATATCTATATCTATCTATCTATCTATATCTATCATCTATCTATCTATCTATCTGTCTGTCTATCTATCTATCCATCATCTATGTCGGCTCTGGCATGTCCACAATGGCCTAAGTACTACAGTATTGGTCTCCAACTTAGGGCTATTGGAAAGTGGTGGAGTTTTTGAGAGGTGGGACCACTCTGGGGCGGGAATTTTGGAAACTTGTTTCTTCCTGCCTTTCTCTGTACCTTTCTTTCTATAAGGTGAGACCTACACATACTGCACTATTCTGCTCTCCTGCTGTGATGCACCACACAAGCCCACAGCAATGGGGACAACAGGTGATGGACTTGATCCTGGAAGGCATGTGGTAACATAAGTACTTTATGAATTTTAATTAGTTGATAAAATGACTCAAAAATTTGTAAACACAACATTTCCTTCCTATTATATTCTCTATAAATGTATTTCTAAAACTACAAATAGAAAATAAACCCCAGGGACTGTAGTTAGACACAATGTATTGTGTATTTCAAAATAGATAGAAATACTTAATAGATACACAATAGGTAAAAGATAAATTTTGAATGCATTTGCCAGAAATAAATTATAAATATATAAGGTGTTGATTGCTAATTACACTGATTTGAAAATTAACAATGTAACATTGTACTTCCTAAAAATGTATAATTCTCAAAGGTTAATATTTTTCAAAAATAAATATAGAAGAACTTGGAATGGGTAAAATGGGTGGGAAAATAAATGCTCAAGGAAAAACAAAGAAGGGAAAGAAAGAGAAGAAAGATAATCCTGGGAAAAACTTACCTGTTTTGATATTAAAACAGATAAACTTCAGGTGGTTTCCATATAGTTCATTTTATTATCATTGTTCTACCAGATTTACCAATGACATGAAACCAGAAAATATTTCAGATACTGCCAAATTTGTTCTCCTGGGATTGTCAGATGATCCACATCTACAGCCCATCCTCTTGGGACTGTTCCTGTCCATGTATCTGGTCACAGTGCTCGGGAACCTGCTCATAATCCTGGCTGTCATCTCTGACTCCCACCTCCACACCCCCATGTACTTCTTCCTCTCTAACCTGTCCCTGGCTGACATCTGCTTCATCACCACCACAGTCCCAAAGATGATTGTGAACATCTCAACTCACAGCAGGGTCATCTCCTATGTGAGCTGCTTGACGCAAATGTCTCTTTTTATCATCTTTGGATGTATGGATGCCATGCTGCTAACTGTGATGGCCTATGACCGCTTTGTGGCCATCTGTCACCCTTTGAGGTACAATGTCATCATGAACCCAAAAGTTTGCTGGCTGCTGGTTCTGCTTTCCTTCATCATCAGTGTCCTTGATGCCTTGCTCCACACCTCCATGGCACTGCAGCTGTCATTCTGCACAAACCTGGAGATTTCCCACTTTTTCTGTGAATTGGATCAACTTCTCAAGATTGCCTGTTCTGATATCCTCATCAATAGCATGATGGAGTATTTGGTGACAGGACTGCTGGGTGTTGTTCCTCTCTCTGGGATAATTTTCTCTTACACTCAAATTGTCTCTTCTGTCCTGAAAATCCCATCAGCTGGTGGAAAGTATAAAGCTTTCTCCATTTGTGGGTCACACCTAATAGGACTTTCTTTGTTCTATGGCACAGGTTTTGGGGTGTACCTCAGTTCCACAGGTGCTCAGTCCCCCAGGATGAGTGCAATTATCTCAGTGATGTACACTGTAGTGACTCCCATGATGAACCCCTTTATCTATAGCCTCAGGAATAAGGAAATGCTGAGGTCTTTAGGGAAACTCATCTTTAGGATATCATCTTTCCATTCATATGTCAGATGCTTATACTCCTGGAATAAGTCAAAGAGAAAAAAGGTAATGAATGATTTGTAAGATTTACCAGTGTCTTTGACTATACCTGAGCAGAGATCAAATGGTAAAGGATGGCAATAGTGAAATCAGACTACTTGGGTTTAAATTCTACCAGTGATATCTTATATCTCTTTATTAGGGTTTGATACAAAGTTCCTGCATTTAAAGGGTGGCCTATTGGAGGTTGATTGGACAATGGGAGTGCTGTATTCAATATTGTATTACTCCACTCAAGATATCAGGACTGAGTATGCTGATAGAAACCTGGATCTGGATGGAAGATGCTGTTCCCTGGAGTTTTGACCTGGAAGGTCACATCACCCTTCCCAATTCCTCATTTACTCCCTGCTTCTTGGCCACCACTATGTGAGCAGCTGCCCTCTATTAGACCCCTCCACCATATCCTTCTTGCTGTGGATCTGGGTAACTCTGGACTGAATCATCTTAAGTCTGTGAGCCAAAATAAACCAGTCCTACCAGCAAAGGAAACAACATGGCAGAGAGATGAAACACAGAATGGGAGAACATAACTGCAAACCCCACAATTGACAAGGGGTTAATACCCAGCATATATAAAAATACCAACAACTGAATAGTAAAAAAGAAAATGTAAATGGGTAAGGATATGAATAGACATTTCTCAAAAGAAGAGAAAGGTGCGCAATCGATATATTCAAATTGCTCAATCTTTTCTTTCCTTATCCTTTCTTTCTTTCTTTCTTTCTTTCTTTCTTTCTTTCTTTCTTTCTTTCTTTCTTTCTTTCTTTCTTTCTTTCTTTCTTTCTTTCTTTCTTTCTTTCTTTCTTAACCAGGGATTAAACCAAGGACCTTGTGCTTGTGAAGCAGGTGGTGGAAGCAGTAAGATAAAACTTTGGCCCAAAATGCTCTCCAGATTTCTCTTTTTAATTTTATATTAATTAATTAATTAATGTATTTATTTATTGGCTGGGATCAGACTTAGGTACTTGTGCTCACAATCCAGGTAGCAGTACAACTGAGCTAAATACGTGGCCATTTAATATCTTTACATGCAAATCAAACCAACAGTGAAGATCTGGTCATAGTGGTAAATTTCTATAGGCAAAGTTTTTTTGGATGCTGAGGCATGCAGATTGTTTAAATGCATGAGTTCAAGATCAAAGTAACCAATACATTGAGATACTTTTTAAAGTAAAGAAAAAAAGAGATTGCTGGTGACTAAGCTCAGTGATAGGGCATTTGTGTAGCATATGTGGAGGACCTAGAGTTGACTCCCAGCACTAGAATAAGTAAAAAAAAAAAAAAAAAAAAAAAAAAAAAAAACACTAAGTGAAATAAATGTCACACATGTGTAAATAGTTTCTCTGGTGTGAATAAACTATAATAGTACATAAGATCCTAATGAGATAATTGACAATATGAAATAGGAAGAAAAGGACTAAAGGTGTAGGGGAAGTGGGAAGGTAGGGGAAAGGTAGGAAGGGAAAAGAAAAAATATGAGAAAATTAAAAAATGGAAATAAAGTGTTTGTAAATGGAGAGAGGAGGAGGGGGTGAAGGGAGTGCAGGGAAAAGGGGAAAAATGAGAGTCAAGACCTGTCATGTAAAGGTACAACATGCCAATAATGAATGTAACTGTAATGTATACCTAAAATGTACCAATAAACTCAATAAGGAAAAAATTATCATATTACCCCAGTGGAAATGTGTATGAGGTAAAGCATGAAAGACTGCATGGCAAAAAACTCCTGTCTTCCTATGTTTATTGTGGCACTATCCACAATAGCCCATACATGCAATCTACCTAAATATGCAGAACAAATGAATGAATAAATAAAATGTGTTCTATACAAAGAATGGAATATTATTCAAACATAAAGCACATGAAATCTTCTTTGTCATTGCTGACAGTGTGGATGAACTTGAGGGGTATTACATTAGGTAAAATACATCAGGTATAGAAAGATAAAAAGCATAATCTCACAAAAGTAACCTAACAAAGGTTATTTCATAGAAGTGGAGAGAATAGTGATTGCCGAGGATGGTTTAGAATAGGAAGGAGTGGCCCGAAGGAATAACCCATCTACAGGAAGTGTGTTATTTTGTGAGTGGAGTAGTCATTTCTGGTTTTTTATGGCCCAGAAGGGTGAATATAATTACAGAAGTGCCTCGTACATCTCAGTGCTGTTAGGAAAAGAAAACTTTATGTACTCACCAGGAGAAAATGTAAAAGTCTCAATGGTGGATATGCTAATCACTGCAACTTGATCACTACTCCAAGTATACAAAATGAAAACATTATTTTGTTCCTCACAAATATAAATTATTTAAAAAAAACAAACAAGTGCATAAGTAACATGCTCTATATTTCTCCTTTGCAACTCCTAGGATATTTTCCTCATTATCTTAAAAAAGGAGGTACTTTTCTCTTCATGAGATGAGATAAGTCCACAATGTCCCTTGGCTTCATCCACTCACCATGAAATTTATTTGAATATTTTCAAGACCTAGTGTAATTTTATTCTCTTTTTGTTACTGGTCTTGTGATTGATGGAAAATTTGAGTTTGTTTGATAATTTAGTAGGTAAATTTCTGTATTTTGTCAATATTCCTCTTTTTAAAAATGAGTGGGGATAAATTTTTTATGAAAGACCTTCCTAAGCAATCTTCCCATGAATTTCAAAAATCCTTATTGAAAATCCTAAATTCATATAGGAAGAGTTAATATGGCATAACTACATGAATAAACAAATGAAAAATGGAAATATTTTTTAAATATTTTAAAAGAAGAAAGTAGAAATTATCTTAGCTAATGCTTTGGAAATGTATATAAATGTGTTACTAGCATTCAGTCCTGAGAAATGAGGAGAGTTAATAAAAACAGAGAAATGGTGGGAAAGAAGTCCCTCCCATCACTGTTTCTTCATCAAGTCTCCTGAACTCTGCAATAATAAACACCCAAATCTTATTCTATTGGGCATGTACACTGTCAAAGGCCAAATCCCATTTCTTTCAGAGTAGAAATCTGCTCCTTCTTAAACATAATGGCTAATACAACACATTTTGAAATTTATTTCACCTCTTGTAAAAATCGTGGGGAGCAGTTTGTGAGTGTGTCAGTTGAAATGTCATTATCAACAACCAGAGACTATGTGGCCTTACAACAGAAATTTATTTTTCTGTTTCTCAATTTGGAATACAAAGATCAAGCTGTTCTGATGGGAGATCTTGGTCTCAAGTGATGGTGGCAAATGCTGCTGTCCATAATTTTATTCCTTTCACCCCATCGTTTTCCATCAGGGTCTTCAAAAATCTGAATGCTAAAAACCAAGCAGATGTCTCAGAATTCCTTCTCCTGGGACTGCAGGTGATCCAGAGCTGCAGCCACCCCTCTCTTTTTATGTGGCAGGCTGGAATCTCAGAAGAACTTTGTCCAGATAGGAACCTTGCATCCAGGACACAGGGAAATAGTTAGTCCATGTTTATTAAATTACACCCTTGCCAAATGACCAGACACTGGAATACAACAGGCAGCAAGGAAACACTGACAGTCTCTACTCCTCTCCCCCAAACTCACTCCACCCTCCACCTTGTCTCCCCAGGGCCCCTTACTCCAGCTCAGGTGTCAATATTTGGTAGTGGAATAGGGACAGCAGATCAGTCCTGGGGAGGCCAGTGATCTCTGGCATCACAGTCCCAGAGAAAAATAGAAGTGGCAGATAATTAACCCAGGCAGTGGGGTGACCCACTTTCTGACTGCACCTGCCCTCAAGGGAGCTCTTGGGAAGCTGGACAGGTTCGGCTGTTCCTGTCCGTGTACCTGGTAACCATCCTTGGAAATTTGCTCATCATCCTTGCTGTCAGTTCTGACTCCCAAATCCACACTCCCATGAACTTCTTCCTCTCCAAATTGTCCCTTAATCACATCTGTTTAAGTACTGCCAGGATCCCAAAGATCCTGGCGAACACCCAAACACATAATCACAGCATCACTTATACTAGGTGACTCTCTTAGCAATGATTTTTCTTGATTTAGAAAATTGCCTCCTGGCAATGATGGCCTAGGAATGCTAGGTGGTCATTTGTCACCCTTTCAGGCACATGGTCATCACAAGACCCTGCCTCTGTGTGTCTTGATTCTGCCCTTCCTGCTCATTACCTTCCTGCATGCTCTGCTCCACACTCTGATTGCACTGTGGCTGTTCTTCTGCACAGGCCCAGAGATTCTCCATTTGTCTGAACTTACTCAGATCAACAAGCTCACCTGTTCTGATGCCCTCCTCAATAATCTGTTAGTACATTTGGTGACTGGCCTACTTGCTAGTGCTCCTCTTTCTGGAATCATTTTCTCTCATATTCACATTATGTCCTCTGTCTTGAGAATGCCATCATTTGGAGGGGAGTACAAAGCCTTTTCCACGTGTGTGTGTCATCTGTCAGTTGCCTCTTTGTTCTATGGGACTGACTTTTGGAATTTACATCAGCTCTGCAATAACAAAATCATGTAAGAAGTCTAAAGTGGCTCCCATGATATATTCTGTCACTCAGATATGGAACAATTTGCCTATAGTTTCAGGAATAGGGACATTAACAATCTCTTTGAGCAAACTCATCAGTAAGTTAACCTGTGTTATGTGATGGGCTGTCATGATGTTTTGGATGTAAATTTCCAGAGAAAGTAGAAAATGCTTGGCTTACAGGTGAGCCAGGATGCTGAGAACTTCTCTCAACACACTTTTCTAATGAGATAATGGCATAAACAATCAGATGCTTTCAACTTGCCGTACATCCTAAATTTTTAAAAGTCTAATAGTGAAGTGCAACACATGATTTTATATTCTAAACACAGTTTCTTTGCTCAAGTTTCTCAGAGGCAGAACTTGAAGTGGCTCCTAATTTTGGCAAGTTTTCTATGTTCAGTGTCAGAAGAAGGCCAGTTGACAAGGTGGATATGTTAGGAACAGTATTTAAGCAAATCCGTGTTTATATATAGATAATGATTTCCACCTGGCTGTATGTATGGTTAGGACTACATGAATTTCA